GCGGCTCCTAGGCCGACCCCCCCTCCTCACCTCACCCACGCCCTGGGGAAAGTTCTTTTGGGGGACTACAACGCCCAGCATCCCCTCGTAGACTCCCCTCCATGCCCCCCCTTTGAGGCTCAATTGCTTTCTTCGGGCCAGCGGGGGGGGGCAGGTTTCAGATTATTATCCGCCATTTTTATAGTGGATATTTGGAAAAGCTCTTTTCTGGACTACATGTCCCACCATCCCCTGATTTCCCAGTGTCTCGCCCTGTGTCAGGCTCAGTGGCCTTCAGTTTTGGACCACAAGTCCCATCATCCCCCTCCCCTTCCCAGATATCTCTTTGCCCACCCATCCAACTACCTGTACAGGTAATACTGGGAGGGGGGGAAGAGAATGACACTTTTGGACTACAAGTCCCACCATCCCCCTCTGTTTTCCAGAGTCCCTCCATCTGTCCCAGGGGCTTTTTTGGGGGTCTAAAAAAAGAGGACGTTTTCCAGAGGGGTCTGTTGGCCGAGTTCACTTCAAGCGGCTTCCCAGAACTGGCCGGGCAGCAAAAGTGTTGCCTGAAAACCAGCAGCTCTTTTCAAGCGGGAAGAAAACAAATCAAAGATTATTTTAAAAAAATCAAATTCGCTTAAATTAAGATTTAATTTTTAAAACTCATTTTAAAAATTTAAATGATCAAAAAAATATATCGGGTCCTTTTTTTTTAAGGAGAAAGGGGGGATAAAAATATTTTAAATAAACCCAATTAGATATTGAAAAAGAAGAGCATCATACGTGAAACCTTTAAAAGAACATCACGCGTAAACATTGAAAACGAATTAAAGTCTACGCTGATTAAAATGCAATTGAACAATTAAAAGCAAGTAAGCTTTCAAAATTAACTTAAAGAAGGCATCTGGAGACAACAGTTGTGATGATTAAGAGCCTGCCTGTAAAGCTGGGTCTTCAGTGGTCGGCGGAAGGATAGAAGGAAGAGGGCTGGAAGGGACCCTTTAAGGTCATCTAGTCCAGCCCCTGTCAAAAAACTTCGTCATAATGCGATTTCGTTGTTAAATGGGGTGCTCGTCTTGCGAGGCACCACTGTACTAGAAACGAAAATGCAGTCACTTCTGGAGAAGTAGAAATAAAGTTGGTGGAATCAGATGGCCCGGCTAATTGGTGATTCCTGGGCTGCCCCCCCCCTTCCTCTCCCCACGATGCAGTCTGGCTGACTTCTCCATCTCCTTCGCAGGCAAAGCGGCAGCCGAAATGACCACCAGCCAGAAGCACCGGGACTTTGTGGCCGAGCCGATGGGTGACAAGCCCGTCGGCACCCTGGCCGGCATCGGAGACGTCCTTGGCAAGAAGCTGGAAGACAAAGGCTTTGACAAGGTATCTCCCGGGGTCTGAGTTCAAATCCAGGTTTGGCGGGACGGTGGAGGGAGAACATGGGATAAGGTGATGGTTTGAAATCTGAGCTGATCTGTTTCTGTACAAATGGACCCACGTAACCATGGGATCAGTGTCTGCAGTCTAAAAACATTAAAAGGAGAGGAGGAAAAAAATAGAAATTCTTATTTTCACGATGTATTTACCAGAACTGGCCACTAGAAGGAGCCAGAGACCACGCTGTTTAATGGAAGAATACACAGCATGGCCTCTTGCTCCTTCTAGTGGCCAGGTCTGGTAAATACATGGTGAAAGTACTTCCCCCTCTCCTTCTTTTTTTCTCCCCCCCCCCAATTCTTTTTTTAATATATTGCTTACTATTATCTGTGGTTTTCAGCATTCTCTGTGGTTTTGGGGTGAGTCCCCCACAGATACGGGGGCCCAACTTTATTGTATTTTTATGCTTCACCATCTTGTGGCCTGGTCTGTCCTTCCTTCCAGTGATAAAATGAACATACAGTACAAAGAAAAGTCAAAGCCCACCCAAACCATATATATTATATATATATAATCTATCTCGATAACAGATCAGCAGCTCTAAAAACTCAAAGTGGTGGCAATGGGGAAAAATAGAGGTTATAAGGCCTGATTCTCCTCAATGGCCCACAGGTATAAAAGCTGGAGGGGGTGGGGAGGGAGAGAGAACCTGAAATGCCTGCTTGAAAAGCCCATGTGTTTTCTGTAAACCCTCCCTCAGGCATACGTGGTGCTGGGGCAGTTCTTGGTGCTGAAGAAGGACGAGGACCTCTTTCGCGAGTGGCTGAAGGACACGTGCGGCGCCAACGCCAAGCAATCACGGGACTGTTACGGCTGCCTGCGCGAGTGGTGCGACGCCTTCTTGTGAGCGGGGCCGATCCGTGCTCGGCGGAGGCTGGTGTTGGCTTTTATAGTTAGCTAGAGAAAGACCCCTCCCACCCTCTGTCGTCCTCCTCCTCCTCCTGACCCATCTTGCACCATCTACCAAGGGGGCCTCTTGCAGGCTGTCACCTCCCGACCCTAGAAATAGCCTTTCTGGAAATTATTTTTTTAAAAATGTAACTGCGCTCCTTTTCCTCCGGGGAGGAAGGGGGGGGAAAGCATGCCGGTTTGGATTTCCTTAGAATCCGCAGCCTTCCGTGTGGCTTTGGGAGATCTCATCCCCTTGCGTTGTTCGGGGGCCTTGATCCGAAACTCCCCGAGAGCGCCCACTTCTTGTGGCTGCAGGTTTCAATTGTGATTTGGAAAGCAACCGATCTGTTAGGGAACGTTTCTGTGTCTGTCCCCCACCCCATCCCCTCCCTCACGTTTTGATCCTCCCGACTTTTATGCGGCCTGCTTTTACCTGCAGGAACCAAAAAAATCATTGCAGAGTTTTTAAAACAATAAAACTGAAGCTGTGTTCATATCTTTAGCCTGGCGTGAAAATGGACTGGGGCGATCTGCGGGAAGTGGCATAACAATAATGCTCGGGGAGAGGTGGCATTGCCTGCAGAGGATGGGGCTTCCTTTTCAGCAGGGACTTTGGCGAGACTTTGGGTCCGAGTCCTGAGCCTGACTCTATATCAAAAACAAGCTTTCTTTCCCCAGAAGAAAGGGGGTGGGTGGTTACGAGGTGTGAATCGGGCCTGAGTCACTGAAAAAAAAACTCATGTTGAGTCACCAGCGGGACTTAAGTCCCATGTGACAGCGAGTCCCTTGACTCTGATCCCCTCCCCTGCCTTTTTTGGGGGGCAAAGGGTGAGAATCCAGCCAGCCCCAGTTTTGAGAAGGCATGACAGGATTTAACGCTTCCTTGAAGCCGCTGTTGTTCTCTTGTGAGACAAAGACCGGCGTCCCCCAAGCATCCACCGGGACGTTCCTTATCGAGAATGAAAAGACTGAGCAGGGGAGACCCAGTTCAGAGATGGGAACCTGCCTTGGATAACGGGTTTGGATGGCTCAGCCTCCTTCCATGGGCATTTTTAAACCGGGCCTCTTGTGAGTGAGTGCCTTGAGCATGGCTGATAAGCCCCTTTTCTCTGCCACGAGGCTAAAACTGATCACTGGGCTCTCTTATACCTGAAGAAACCTTAGCTTGGGTCCTTCCTCTTGGTCAGGAGATAGTGAGTACAGTTATCGGCAAGATTGTGTACAGAGATTTATTGGCTTTTTTACTCAACTTCTCTAAAAAGCACCCATCTGACCCGTGCCCCCTCTGGACGGTGGTGCACCACACAGACAGAGCAAGCCTCTCGTTCCACACAACACCATTGAAACTGGTATAAAATAGATGAAAGACGGATGAAAGCCCAGGAGCAGAAGCTGCTGCATCGCGGGGGCAGAAGACATCAGCCAAGGGACCGTTCCTGACGGCCGGTGGGGGACCCTCGGCTCTCCGGTGGTTTTCAGATCCCAGCAGCTCAGCCCCTCCATCCTTCTTGTCGGGGATGAGGGGAGGTGTAGTCCAGCAATATCCAGAGAGCCAGAAGTTTCCTACCATGACACTGAGCTCCGGAGAGCAGTCAAGGTGCCTCCGGGGGGGGGGGGGGGGGGGGTATTCTCTAGCGCCTGCGCCGCGCCCATCATGGAACTGTTTATTTGAAAAGCCATCGAGGCGGTTCCGTGGACCGACAGTGAATTCTAGCCATCAGTTTGTTTTTTGGCCTCTTCGATTCCTTGCATTCGGTTCCACTGAAAACGGTTTGCCTTCCCGTGTACGCCGAGGGAGAGAGAACTCCAGCCATTCAGCCAATGCAGATCCTAGCAATACCTTTTATTGAACTCGTCAGGTCTCCCAAACAGCCGAGTGGTGATTGGACCAGATAGGCGGGGTATAAATAAAATAAATAAATAAGATCTTTTGACTCTTGCAGGACTGCTCCGTCCGCCTGGGTGTGGCGGATATTTGAACGTCGCAACGCCCAGCCCGGTGAGCGATCCTGATTGCTGGGTGCTCTGAATAAAAATATTCATCTTAGTTGGGGGGGGTTTGCTTAAGAATCACACTTTCCCCCCCTCCCCCAACTTAGTGCAATTTGAGATTTTAGGGATTGCCGTCTACCCTCAGGCACATGGAGTGGACGGCTCGAGGGTTTTGGCCTCTGGCAGCGGTGCCAGAGGTTGGGGGTTCGAATCCTCCCGCTGTGCCTCCTTGAGAAGGCCTGGGATCCACGATCCACAGAGGGGCCCTTTCCACCTCTGCCGTTTCCAAGGGGATTCGAACCCGCTTCCCAAAGCGCTGAAGTCTGGCCCTTATTTATATATATAAAATCATTATTTTGTAGCCCAAACTACAAATCCCATCCGCCCCCGCAGCCCGGGGAATGGAGGGACAACCCACGTATCCTCTCGCGGCAACCCAAACAAGCCCTCCGGCGGGTGGGCGGGGTCTCCGGGTGGGCGGGGCCTTCCTCCCGGACGGCCAGGCCCCGCCCTTTCCCCCCTCTCGGCTGGCGCAGGCGTGTTGGCGCCCCGCCCCGCAGGGGGAAGAACAACATGGCGGCGCCTCCCCTCCGTGGGCGGGGCCTGCCCGCGAAGCCCCGCCCCTCCTCC